AATACTTTGTTTTAACAGGTTTAAAGCTCTTAGTCTGATAATATTTATGTTGCAGCTATCCTTTATGTTTTGTTGATTTCTTAATTTATTGTTTGGCTTCAGTCCTTTATTTGTCTGCTTATATTCACAACGGTACCGATGTGTTTGTATTTCATATTTTTACTAATTCTTATTCAAAATATACTCATGGGAAATGACCATACTTGCATGTAGCTCTGTGCTAGATCAGATTTTAAAGATTTAAAAGTGTGTTTGTAACCTATTAAGACAAGCCTGTACTTTCTTTTATAAATCTGTGAAAGACTTTTACTGCATTAAAGGAATTTCTCTGCTGCCTTGTATCTAAATTCACTTCAGTTTCCTTTACAACTTAATGGAAAAGGAACAATTTTCTCTTTTTAAATTCAATTCATATCAGTTTATTTATGTACCGTCAATACACAAGACATCATCTCAAGGCCCTTTACAGAGACAATTCATCCATATAATCTGTTACGGATTTCAGTGCTGATCCATCCAGCGATTTATATACAAACAGGAGAATCTAAGTTACATAGAGCCAATTCAATTTACTTTATTTATATAGCGCCAATTCACAACACATGTCATCCCAAGACACTGCACAATTCAACCAGATCATACAGTCAAATTGTTTAAAGTTTTTTATCTAAGGAAAACCAGCTGATTGCATCAATTCATTGACTCGAAGGCAATCCTATACACTAAGCATGCTTGTAGCGACAGTGGAGAGGCAAAACTCCCTTTTAACAGGAAGAAGCCTCCAGCAGAACCAGACTCAGTGTAAGCAGCCATCTCCTGAGACAGACTGGGGTTCAAGGAGACAGAAGCAGACATAGAAAAAGAAGCAGAGATACAGAAGGCAATTGTTAACCAGCTCCACAGGCGGCCCTGTCCAGGAAACACACAGCCGTCAGCGGAGCTCAGAGCCAGCTCCTACGTCAGAGGAACAGAACTACTCTGAAAAAAAGGCAGATCAAGAACATCTATTAAAAAAAAAAGGTTTTGATGGCAGCCAGTGTAAGGACTTCAGTTCTAGGGGCTACTCAGTGGGGCAGTGGGTAGCACTGCTGCCGTGCAGCAAGAAGGTTCCCCATTCAAATCCTGGCCCGAGGTCTTTCCGCATGGAGTTTGCATGTTCTCCCTAAGCATGCTTGGGTTCTCTCCGGGTACTCTAGCTTCCTCCCACAGTCCAAAAACATGATGGTTAGGTTAATTTGTTTCTCTAAATTTTCCTTAGGTGTGAGTTTGTGTGTGAATGGTTGTTTGTCTCTGTGTTGCCCTACAATGGACTGGCAAACTGTCCAAGATGTACCCTGCCTCTCGCCCATAGATAGCTAGAAATAGGCACCAGCTGGGATAAGCATGACAGAAAAGGGATGTTAGTTTTAGTGAGAACACAGGCAGCAGCATTTTGGATCCGCTGTGGCTGTCTGAGGGACTTTTTAGGCAAAACTATGATGACACCATTTGTATAAATAAATTCTACTAAATTTCTTTTTCTAGGTCCTGCTTGGACATTAGTCCTTTAGTTTGGGAAATGTTCTTCAGGTAATAAAAGGCTGACTTGTTGCAGCTTTTATGGGCCTCTGTAAAGCAGCCGGCTGCCTGCAAAGTCATTATAACTGATTTTGTTGTTTGCTATAATCTCACCTAAGGGGACCATGAAATATTAATTTGAAGGGCCCCCAGAATGAATCCTTGAGGAACCCCACATGTGAGTTTTCTGTTCTCTGATTCAAAGTTTCCTATTGACACATCAATTATGGATACCTAAGAAGAAAAAGAACAACATTAATGAACCATCTACTTGCTCTGTCAGACGAGTAATGCTTTTTCTTTTGAAGACTGTCCTTAAACAATTCTCATTCACAGAAGCAGAGAGACATGCCGGACCGTTGTCTGGTGAATGACACAGACTATGAACTCACTACACTGCTTACTGCAGTCCCATTAAGAAAATAGCTAAAATACTTAACATTAAAGCACAGCTGAAAACGTTATGTTTTTTTTTTTTTTTTTTATAGGCCCAATGTCTGATGTAGCCTAATGTGCAAAGAATGAAGGTGGTGAGACATTCCATTCTGAATCCTGGGAAGCACCTGTATTTTCCAAAGACCATCCATCAATAACTGCATGTTACATAGCCTGCAGGCTTGGTGCTAATGAAATCAGTAACAGAAAAAAAATAAAAATAAAAAATGTTGCAATCGTTGCTTTTGATGTGTCAGATTTAATGGACAAAAAGATAGAAAAGAGGGGCAGACAATTAGAGAATATCTAAATATCCTACAGCATCCTAATGAAAAATGTAGGAAACTTCATTTTTATTTAGGAAGCCACAAATACAGAAACTTATATAATCAACCATTCTTCTAGACATAGATAATACTGCCCTAAAGATTACTGCCTCTTTAATGCATTTGGATACTAAGTGTGTATTATGGCACTTTAAAGATCCATTTCAAACTGTGGAGCTCCAACTAAATGCTATTTTTTTGTCAATATCTAAAAGTAAAATGTTGATCTCTGCATGTGCACAGACTTCGATATTAGTATGTGCTGATTTATAAGACTATTTCAAAAATGATCACATCTTACTTATAATCTTATTAAGTTTGGAATATTAGTGCTCAGTCTCTGGTCTCAGGACACTTTGAATCCTATTGCTATTCAGGTCAGAACAGAAAGGCGGAAGAAAGCTTTTAGCTTTTCTGTTCCAACTTTATGGAACAGTTTGTAGTCAGAGTTAAACCCTTAAACTCTGTGTTATCTGGGAGTATTTAAGGCTATAATAGAGCATTTCCAACTTACAAATGTAGATTTTTTCTTTTTGTGTGTAAATGGCTTTGTTGAATTTAAACTTTTTGGTGAAAAAGTCTATTGTAGGACTATTCATAAAGTAAATATGTTAAAACAAATATTCTCTTACTTACTTTTTTTTGCAAAAGAGTAATTTTAATTAAAATATCTTATTATTATACCTATTATTAGTTGGAGTAAATACTTTAACAATTGACAAATACATTTCTTGGTATTTAACATAACAAAATGATATATATTGAGGACTAATATAATGTCTCATTTAGGGTAGCATAGGAAAATGATCAACAGAAAAATGTTACTAAGATGCCTATTTGATTTTATGAGCATAATAATAGTTCCATCGTGAACATCAATAACACAAAAGTGGGTATCTGTTATAAAATAAAATATATTAAGTATTAAGTTTATATGTTATAATATTGATTATGCTGTGCTGTTATGTTTCTATGCTTCCTGTCTCTCATGCAACATTAAATTGCTTCTCAGTCTTTAAATAGAAAAGCAGCAAAACATTGTTTTAGCTCATTTAAACATTTTTGCTGACAATGGCAGGCTACAAAAGCGTGTAAATACTGTGATTTAGAGCCTAAAGGCGGAAGTTCAACTGAAGAAACTGACTGCTCTCTTACATCCACCTGCGGCACAGCCAGTCAGCCTTGAACCACATCTCCACAAAAGCCAACTGGCAAAGTTCATCTTAAAAGGCCTCGGATCTGCAACTCGTATTCTCCTGTATGCAGGCAGTGGATGCGCTGTGTGACTTCATTCAGATGACACCATTTCAACCCAACTCCAGCCGCTCCTCCTCCATCGTAGCTAAAGCTTAATCAGAGTGTCATTCCTCCTGGACTCTTATTGCATTCACTGTCTCATCTCAACCGGTCTGGCAGAAGACCGCCAGGAGCGGAGCTAGATGGGGGGCCAGGGGTGGCCATGGTTAATTATGCACATCTATATACTAACATTAAAGATGATAAATACAGAACTTCTGGTCTTTTCAGAACTAGATTTTGGGTTTTATGGGGTAAATAGACAATGATGTGTCTCTGCAAGTCATCTAGGAGTCTTCAGTGAAATCATAGATAAAGATATAAGTATTTTAATAAAAACTTATTAAATGACAAATTTATGTAGATATTAGTATTTGTAAATATCAATTTTATGCAGAATAATTACAGAAAAAGTAGGTAAGTAATGACAATGGAAAAGATGTTTGCCCAAAACTCAAACCTGAAAGAATTTTATCCACTATATCTTTTATGTAGAAAGCAGAAATATTTGAATATAATTGTCTATTTGTTAGCAAAGGCTATGGGAAAGTATAGTTTATCTTTATTTAGAAAATATAAATTTTTGCTCGTTAATTTTCCTGTTGGAACAGTTTAGATTGACCGTGAGGTTTTGGTGCCTATCTACTTTCGGCCACTCCTCAGTGTACATAGGTTATCGCCTGGCCACCCTTATTGAAATTTCCTGGCTAAACCTCTGAAGACCGCCATGTTGAGCCTGGTTCTGCCAGAGGTTTCTTCCCAACCTGGAGTTTTTCCTCTCCACTGTCGCTTCATGCTTGCTTATCATGGACAGGTTCTTTCAACCTGTGATATCTAACTGGACTTCCATCTTCCAGGTCCCTGAGTAAAGCTCTAGTATCAGCTCACGCAGTCCACTGGATCTAAACTCAGCATACTGTCTCTCTAACCAGCAGTCTGCAGACTGACCAATTTCATCTAGTTTCAGGCCTGGGGGGTAAACAGTCCTGTTCTTTGCTCCTGTTCATGCATATCTATCAAAATTAAGCTCTATGTTTCCTGCCAAGGTCTGAGCGCCAAAGACAAAGTAATTGTATCAATAAATGCCTCCTAATTGTCTTTTCTCTTCATGTGCGTTTTTCAGTTGGAAGTTTTTCTATTTCATGAATAACTTTGCTGATGGGTGTCATTTTATTTTAGTTTAAGTATGCCATGTTTCTTTATATTTTCATACGAGCTCTCAGAACTGGGTGGCTCTCATAATAATAGGAAGTGACTGCGTCTTTGCATGCTTAACGTTACTCAATAACTAAAAAGGTAAATATATTGCGTCTCCCTATGCAGACCGCGCCTTTGGCTGCGAGTTTTTGCAGCAGCTCTTTTCATGCTTCCAGTCCAGGTCACAAGTTTCTAAGATCGGCCCCTCTGCAACCTCACGCTCACATGGAAGGCGGTTCCTCTGCCCAGGAATAAGAGGAGATACTCGGCTTAAAAAACTCACTTTTACAGTGTTTAAAGATCCTCCTGTAAGCTGCCACCTTCTGAGACACGAAAGGTGGGATGACATCTCACATTCCTCACTCCAACGGCATGCAGAGCCTGCAGAAGGAGCACCTGTACAAGGTGCTGGTCATCGGAGACCTCGGAGTCGGGAAAACCTCCATCATCAGACGCTACGTTCATCAGACCTTCTCCAGTAACTACAGGGCAACGATCGGAGTGGATTTCGCTTTAAAGGTCTTGAACTGGGACTCGGAAACTGTGCGGCTGCAGCTGTGGGACATTGCAGGTGGGGGTATTTTGGAAACAAACTACGATATTTGACAAGAAAAAAGAAAAACAAAACACAACACTGGAAAAACTATCTAGAAATAAGTAAAACTTCTTAAATTAAGTGTATTTACCCCTAATTGGATGAGACAGTTTGCCAATGGAATGAGTATTTTTACTCTTAAAACAAGATGATTAGATAATATGCACTTTAGATAAGACAATGCAATTTTGTTTTCTTATTTTAAGTGTAAATTGTCTTGTTCCATTGGCAAAATGTATCTAAACGCGTCCAGAACGCTGTCAATATGAGTGTATGTCTGCCTTTTATGCTCTGACTGCAGACTTTTTCATATTAAAACGTGTAAGAACAAGGGAAGCTATGACATAAATAAAAAAAAGTTTAGAAAAATGCCATCTCATTTCCTGCACTAAAGCTGATAGTTTAAGGAGATAACACTTATCTTTAAACTTTCAGTGATCACTGAAGTTATGAAACCCAACTTGAATTGCACTGTCATGAGGGAGAAGTAGACCAGGACATTGTTTCTTTGTCATTTTTTTTAGGTATGATGTTACCTCATGTGATCAGGTCCATGTGAGGGAGATTTAAAAGGCCAGTCACAGGAATGTCATTGCAGCCTAAATACAACCACAAAAACATCCTTGCTCAGTCACACTCACTCACACTAACCCACAAATGCACACGTGCACACATTGCATTGAGTCATTTAAGTCACATTACTAATGCATTGAAAAAGTGTTCACGTCTGCTGCTTTTGTAATGTTGCTCTGGTCACTAGGACAAACATTGATCTTTTTGAAACTGAATTAAAACTGAGTAATTTGTTCAATTCAGAGCCACTTCAATGATATTTTATAGATACCGAAGGCATGTAGTTATGTGCGTAGAGTGAGAAGCTGGACTGGAGTGATTGGAATATGGATGGATTTACAGGCCAGTTCTGGTGCTCAACTAATCCTTTACAGGAACAGACCTTTTTGAATTTTGTAAGAAATTTCAAAAATAATGCAGCCTTTTTCTTTAGTTTTTACAACTTTGAAAAATTAATGTTGGCCCAGCACACAAAGGTCATACAGAATACCATTCAGTTTTTGATTGTAATGTTACAAAATGGTGGGAAGTTTTAAATATATGAAACTATTTTATTGCATTGTATTGCAACTTTCGGAACAGTATAGACACATGAGAAACATCTTCATTCATGGTATACATGTTTTAAGGAATCAGTCTGGTAATCAGGTCTTGTGACATCATCATCAACTGACAGTATGACAAGTGATTTGTTTGTTAGTGTGTCTGTGACCGATGCAGACAAGGCTTCCTTATGAAGAATGTAATTGTTTTAGATGAAGGGGAGAGGGTTTTTATCCATTGATGAAGTTGTTTTTTTCTGTTCCTTGATAAAAAATAAAAAATTTTCTTTATATGAAGAGTTCTCCAGTTACCTGCAAACTTGAAGCACATTTAGTCATCAGCTGGAGATTAATCACAATTTTAAATGATGCTATAGACTCTAAGGAAATGTCTTGTTTCATTGCACAAAGATCTTTAAAAATGGCAATAATTTAGAAAATCTGAATAACTAGACTTGTTATATACCATCTACAGACCAGTATCATTGTTTATTCTGAGCAGGAACAAGTAGCTGCATTGACAGATTAATTACGTGATGGTAAACAGGAATGTGTTGTTTCATTGGAATGTGGAGACAGCTGACTGCAGCCCTTTTACCAGCTGCTTTAGATATAATGCTGGGAAAACAATGCAGAAAAGGTCTGATCACGGCAATGCCATGGAATCTTACAGCCATAATGAATGAGGCTCCCTTTGTCTGTGCATGTGCCCATCACAGGTCAAGAACGATTTGGGAACATGACGCGGGTGTACTACCGCGAAGCCATGGGGGCCTTCATCGTATTCGACGTTACACGGCCAACCACCTTCGAAGCTGTTATTAAGTGGAAGGAGGACCTGGATTCAAAAGTTATGTTTGCTAATGGACAGAGGATTGCTACAGTGCTGCTGGCTAACAAGTGTGACCAGGGCAGGGAACTAAGCAATAATGGTGTCAAAATGGATCAGTTCTGCAAAGATCACGGCTTTGTTGGCTGGTTTGAGACCTCAGCAAAGGTAAGACTCCAAAATACGTTAGGTTTAATTGTTTCATATTTGTGTCTTGGCAATTGTTGTATCATAAGTTGGAAGTTGGAGTTTATAAAAATAGCAGGTCAGCTTACGCTTGGTGTATATTGTAATTTGCAACTAACCATCTAATCACCACACTTTCCAGGCAAACCTGTAGTGTTGAGAAAACAATATTCATACCTGATAAACTTTTTGTTTTGTTAGAACCAAAGACATCGATATATGTTTTATGTGATTACTGTCCATTCATCTTTGTAAATTAAAAAGGCTTGCTGAGATTTTTATAACATTATAAAATACATTTTAGAAAATTATTTGAATTGTTTTATAGGATTGACCTCACTTTAAAAAGGGAAATATCATTACTGGTATTAACAATTTTCTAACTAGAAAGTTAAGAACGGCAAGTTTAAAAAAAGATTTTAAGTTACTCTCAAAACTTTTTTTTTAGACTAAGAAGTTTTTAAATCTAATTTCTATATTGCATTTATTTCAAATTTCCATTAACAACACCATTTTACCCATATTCTCACACTTATTCCATCCCTGTGGGGCCGATGCGTATCTCTGGCAATCTATGGGCGAGAGGCAGGGTACACCCTGGACAGGTCGCCAGTCTGTTGCAGGGCAATGCAGAGACACAAAGATATACAATCATATAAACACACACTCACACTCACGTTTTTGGACTGTTGGAGGAAACAGGAGTACCTGGAGAGAACCCACCCATACACAGGGAAAACATGCAAACTCCATGCAGAAAGACCCTGGATGGGGAATCAAACCCGGAACCTTTTTCCTGCAAGGTAGCAGTGCTACAATACTGTATGTGCCACCGTGCAGCCCAGTTTTTTTGTTCTTGTTTATTCAAATTTTCATTCATGAAATGCGCTCTTTGCTAGCAAAATTATTGGAACAAAATTGACTCCATCTAGGTGCACGTTCACACTAATGAGTTTTGGAACCTATATATAAATGTTACATTCACAAAGAAGCAACATAATTTACAAGATTTTAACAATTTAAAGCACTCTGCTTGACAGGTTTTTACCTGCACTATAACCAAGCTGTCTGCCTCAGTAAAATGGGTGAAGTAGCGTATTTGTTTCACTAATGTCTGCACTAAAAGGCTCATTTCAAAGCAGCATAAGTCTAATTTGAATAAATACTGTACATAGTGCTGGATGATGCTCCATATATACTATTGTAGCTGTAATCCTTCATATGGCTGCCATGGCATAAAACGCACGTAGATCAACCTTATTACTCCAAGCCATTGATTTAAATAAGTTTGAGAGCGGAGCAGTGGAAGTTGCGCTCTGTCTGTAAGGGCCAAAGCAGGGGGAAAAATTCAGGGCACTCCACTGCTCCAGCCATCATTCTGGTTGCAGAGCCAGTGGCTATACAGGGGTGCACAGGGGGGAGTGGTCATGATGCTGCAGCTGACAACCTGAGCACCCTCTCTGATAGAATAAAAAAATTATTATAATAATACTCATACCTTAAGACGGGTACGACGGAAAGTCTCACAGGTTTTAAAACAGACTTTTTCAATCGGAATATATGGTAAAACTGCAGCTTCTGTCTATCGCATTGGTCAGTAATTTTATCCATGATACATAGCTTTTTTCCCTTAATAAACATATCCTAATTTTAGAATAGTTAATTTTTTTTGTAATGTCTTACTATTTTGTTCTATAAACTAATTTCTCAATCAATTTATGTAGTAGAGACATCTTCTATCTAGAGACAGGGCATAAAGATTTCTGTGTTTGTAAACTTTTTCTGGTAACCCATCTATGTGCACATGTGAAAGAAAGAGTCGACTTAAAAAAATTGCCATATAGTTCCCCAATTTAGTGTTAGATATCATTTTAATATATCAGTTTCTTTAAATGTGAGAAATTTACGGTCTTAAGTAAAGACTTTCTGTCCTCAAAGTCCCTTCAGGCAGCAACACACCTCCCTACGGAGCCAGCTGGAGTTTCAAATCCATTTGGAAACTGCCTTAATGAAGTTGATACAACTGTTTGATGTGCAGAAACTCTGTAATGTCCAAAGTTTTGGTTTTTAAAAATCATAAAATTATTTGATTTAGAAGAATTTACAGCTATGTCTAATAATTTAAACTATCTAAAGACAAATATTGGATTTTAATTTTTTAGTAAATCTGAAAGTGTTGAATTTAAATAGTAAGGTGAATACTTTATAGGGCAATAGAATTAAGAGGAATTTAAAAATGGCTTCTAAAGGTGGGCATCGATCCTAATAATAATTTTGACGCTTAAATTTTGTTAATGCAGTTTCAGTTATGCAGTATGTTCTTTGTGAAATGCTTTTAGTTTTATGTTCAGAAATCCAAACCCAATTCAATACTAACACATCTTTAAATGAAACCAGCGTTGTCTCCTTTCACTTTTGACACTGATGTGTTGAAGTGTGCTGCCTTTCTTTTGGCACTAAGACTCGACATTCTGAAAGTTCATGATGAGTATGTTTGTCCTAAAGAAATAAACGTTCACAAACAGATGTCACACCCATTTTTACAGCAGCATTTTAAATGTTTGTAATTTGTTCAAACCCATAGTGGTGTCCATGGGATATATGCTGTTAAAAAGAATCGGTGGAGTCACTACCTGATCCATACCGGAAGCAGAATCTGTACATCAACTCATTTGCAAATGCGCAACCAGATATTCATCCAGGTTGCCATAAATAATGTAATTATTGTACTAAAAGTACTTATTTATATCCTTAAATCAATAAAGAATACAAATAAACATCTTTAAAAAAAAACATTTTTATGACTTTTTGAGACAATTAGTTGCTTTTTAAATTTTCTCAGTTAAAGTGCTTGTCTTACATCATCATCAGATATGCTCAGAGTAGCCCAGCAAAATGTAAATAAACCATTTATCTGCATTTTAGTTGTTTCTTTCTTTAGATTATGCACTGTATGCCACAAGGACAACAGGAAAGGAAAAAATAAAACTTAAAAAGACTAGATTTATGTTTAAATCCAAAGCTGAAAAGATTAAAAAGATTAGCTCCTAGAAGTAGCGTAAGATCCCATTTCCAGTATAGATGAGTGATAAAACAGAAAGGATTCATTCTTAACCTTTAACACATTATAGTTTAATACACCTCCCATTTTTGTGGAGGGAAAGCTTAATTTAGATGTGTTTTACAAAATAAAAGCGAGGGCGACCCGGATGTATATCTGGTTGCACATGCGCAAATGAGCTGATGGTAGGGATCGTGCTACCGGTAAGGATCGGGTAGTCATAGCGGGGAGTTATTTAAAAAAATGGTAAGATGCTTCCAATATAACTTTGTTTATAAAAGTTCTTAACAAAAAAAAATGTCACTCATATTGATAATTAAGATAATTCGTCTAAAATTAATTTAATTTCTCCCAAAAGCTGTTAGTCTGTGTAATGTGTCTTGTAGAAATACGTTTTTTTGCAGAACAAGCCAATAACTGTCATGTATGTTGTTTTATTGAAGTGGAATTTCAAATCTCCTTCACAATCAATATGTAATTTGATTTTAGGCTGTATTTAAAATGCGTAATCCCACCTCTATAAAAAAGAGAGATTTGAACTTCCTTCACTCAGATTAAACATACCAAATTAAGCATGTCGAGCTACCAGTATCAAGGTAGTTGCCTCAGAGAAGGGTGCCACGTGTTTCTTATAGTTCCGCAGGATCAAATTGGAGAAAAAATAAACAAAAAAGCGGTTTTGTTGTAGAAGTCAAGATAAATAGTTATAGTTGAGTTGAAGTTTAAGATCAAATATTACAAAAAAGTTAAAAAAAACAAACCACTGGACTTTGTTTCCAAGTTCGAAGACATTTCGCGTCCCATCCAGGAAGCTTTTTCTATTCAAATGTCAGAAAGCCTTGTTTTTGCTTAGGCAACATGCAAATCATCCGTTTCAATTGGCATCTTGTCTAGGCAAAAACAAGGCTTTGTTGGGCCTTGTTTTTGCTTTTTTTTGTTGAGTTGCTGTATAAAGCAACTCAAAGCTATTTCTGACATTTAAATTGAAAAAAGCTTCCTGGATGGGAAGCGAAATGTCTTCAAACTTGGAAACAAAGTCAAGTGGATTGTTTTTTAACCTTTTTGGAATGATTATGACCTGGATGACAGAATCTTCACCAGCATAAGATCAAATAATTTGGTTATGTTATACATTTTTGTCATAACTTGTCAAAACCTCATAATATTGTGATTTTATTTGGTGATATTGGATGCTATCCATTATTGTTCAGTCAGTTTTTTTTATATATATATCCAACTCTCTGTTTTAGGACAACCTCAAAATCAGTGAGGCTGCAAACTTCCTGGTCAAGCACATCATGGCGACAGAAAAAGACATTGTGAGGTCGGTGGTGCCAGACACCATCTCCCCTCACATGGACTCCAACAGGCAGATGAGTTGCTCTGGTTGCTTCAAATAGTGAAAGGAAGGAAGCAATGATGAATGGACATGTGAGAGCGGAGGCGTAACGGGACTAAGAAGATTGGGCAATCTGCCAAAGGAAATTCTATGTAGTTTTCAGAATGGAACAGTAAGAGGTCTTTGGTCTATGCAGTCAAACATTTATTTGGTACTTGTGTTGTGATGATCAAAGCTAACATGGACACTAAAGCTAACCCCTCCCGAATTGTGGTCTTTAAGTGTTTCTGGTAACACAACTATCTATCTGTCTGCAAAACACAATAGAAAGCAAATGCAAGAGTAACATATTCTGACATATTTCCTTTAACTATTATCCTCTTCCTTCTCACAGCTGTTTACTTTGAACTGAAACGACAACTTTCTTACATTTCTAAAGAAAGTAGGGCTGCTAGGGCTAACTAGCGATTATTGAGAAAATCATTTAATCTGTTGATTATTATTTCGATTAATCTATTAATAATCAGATAGCAAAGGTTCCTTAAAAAACATTTTTACAAAATTAATCCAAGTGAAACTTCAACTTTTCCACTTGAAGAGTTCTTCATAGAGCATATTGACAGATGAAAAATACTTTTATCATCTTAAATGTAATATGTTCATACCGGTATATTTTTTTTTTTATAATTTTATTATGATTCCTGCTCTAGATGGGTTGCTCTGTCAGCTAAAAGCAGGTTTGAGTCTCTAAACTTCAGTTAGATTAATCTGATTGTTTCAGCCCTAAAGAGAACAAATAAAACTTCTCAATTTCGTCTAAGCCATGATGTGCAGTAAAGTGAAAGCTCATATAGGGCCTGATCGTGCAAGCAAAGGTGATCTACTAACCAGGTGCATAACTTAATTTGTAAGTGTGAATGCATAACTGACTGAATTTTGAGTGCATTGAAGAGGCAGTTTGTTAGTACAGAACTTAGTAATGTACAGAATACATTTTCCTTCTTAAATACGCAGAGCATATGCTGATCTCCAGAACATACAAACAACTTGCATCTGTATTTAGCACATACGAAAGTTAGGGTCCAATTTCCACAGAAACAAATCTACAGTCTTTGTGGTGAGAAGAATGCATATGGGCCATAACAGACAGGAGAGAGAACATTCAATTAATGTGTTGTAATATATTTGGAACTTCAAAAATTAAAAAAGGACTGACATATCTATCCAACAATGCTATTTTTGAGCAGCAAAATACAAGTATATCACACTGTTACTCCAAATTACAATACCATTATATCAGAATCACTCTGGAGCTTTATAAAACCTAGAAAAGGTGGTGCAGATTTGAATTGATTGCTGCATGTTACATTTGAAATGCAGGGAAAAACAAAAAAAAACTCTGAGATTAGGGCAGCAGGACTGCAAACAATTTTATGAAATTAACCAAAAAAGCAATATAAATAAATCTACAGATTTAAATTCTATATTTCGTTTACAGACACTCTGCTCTCCCAAACTCTCCCCTCCCCGTTTTGCACACATAAAATCTTCATTTAAAACAGGGTGGTTTACTATACCTACCATTCACTGTGCACAGCACCTTAGTAGATCACACACACAATAACCCTTATAAAAGCATGTGAAACTTTTTTGTTTCCCAAGCTAAGGTTATTAGTAGATCAAGGCCTTATACGTAATGATGATTTCGCATTTTCTTTGTTAAGCAAACTTATGACTTCTTTGTTTAAAAGCTTTTAGAAAAAAGTACCATCAGTGATGGATGAAGTACTCAAAAGTAGTATTTGAGTGAAAATATAAATACTTATATTCAAATCTTGTTCAACTACAAGTAAAAGTTACTGAGTCAAACATCTACTCAAGTTAAAGTATTGAAGTATTCCCTTTTGAAAATACTTAAGTATTTAAAACTATATGGATTTAAAAGTACTTAAATATTCAAAAATACAATTTGAATCTTTTAATATCAGTACATTTATGTGTAAGTTTCATTTTCAGAGCAACTTTAAAACAATTTTGTAGCTTTCAGAAACCACCTGATGTATAGATACATAGAGCCAGTCTGCTACAAATTCTACACCTCCTGTAAAGAACTTGAAAAAATTAAGGGCAGCTATTTTGATTTGTATTTCTTATTTAAAAACAAAGCAAAAAAACAAAACAGGATTGTCTTGATTCTCCTCAAAATTACACAATGCAATAAATGTTTAAGCTTGAATCTATTACCACAAAGAAATCGCAACTCATCCTACTGAACAACTTGGCCACATGGCAACAACTAACACCCTAATTAAAAATATAAGCTAAAAATAATATCTTCCCTGAGTTTCTCACATTTGTGCAAATGTCTAAAACAGTGGTTACTAAAATTCAGTCCTAAGGGCTGCTATCTTGCAACAAGTAACCAGCAGCTTCCTTGGAATGTAGTGGAGTACAGTAGAAATTACAATATTTGACTTGGAAATGTAGTGCAATGAAAGTTCCACCCAAACAATTACTCAAGTAAAGTATAAATACCCAACATAATTACTTAAGTACAGTAAGTAAGTACATTTACTTTGTTACTTTCCACCTATTAGGGAGTACTATTCCTGTATTTATAAAAAGGCAAACAGAACTGTGGACCTCTTTGGATGATGCAAAAGTTGTGTGGAAATCTATACATGTTTTCATTATGATTTTAAAATCTTTATATTCCTTTTGTAAGTATTTTATGATGCATTTTAAGTTTGAAAATATATCCCCCAAACGACCGTATGAGGTGGAGTGTATTCTCAAATGTAAAGAGTAACACGGTTTTATTTATAGTAAGAATCTGGTAAGACTGTGTGGTTGAAAAGCCATAAAACAGTTGGAGGTTTGACTGACTTTTCAGACACAGTCGCTCCCATTTCTATCAGATGGAAGTGTGACAGGTTTACAAACCGCATGAAGTTTTATTGATCTCAATGTTATAAGCTGAGCACACTTCAGTTCGTCCACCAAAACCTCAGTATCCATGGTAACAAGTCTTTTTATGGGGTTTGCTCTACTATCTATGTAGAGCTGTTTCTCGCTGTGCCATGCACACAGACACACACTAAAGAGCCCAAAAAGACTCTGCATGTCTTCTCTCCTACTCAGCTGCTTTGTTGTTGTTGCTGTTTCGCAATCTCTTTTTTTCACAGCTCTCGCTTTATGAATTTAAAGGTTATTTCGGCTTTTCAGAGTCTCGCTATTAATAGACACCTAAATGTTCTGCACAAACCCGGCATTCTGCTTTTACATGTTTTCCACCTGGTGAATTAGATGTGTCCCTTGGGCTGCAACATGTTACTGTGACCCAAAAAAAAAAAACACCCAAGGCAAACAGGGACATCATTCAAAGTTATTGTATGGTAAAGAAAAAAACAGAATAAATTATTTTTTATTCTTAAAAAAAGCAACACTGTAATATATATCAAATCTTATAACTTGAGTACATAAACTAATTGGAATAGTAATGCTTTAATAAGAAATATAAATTTTGAAGAAAAGTCCCTACGTATATATATGTTTTCTATAACATTATGGGGATGTATCTTTGACTGTTCCTCTTTTACACTTTCCTAGATTATCCAGAGTCTTGGACCCTCTTATGAATACTTCTTATTGCCAATACCTTTCAGAAGAAAGTTGATTTTGTGAGGGTTATTTTGTGTTGGTTTGAACATTTATGTTTTGAATATTTTTTTGACCAGATTTCATTTCCTGCCAGGCTTGAATTCCATATTCCATTATCTTTTCCAGTTTAAGAAATGGCTAAGCGCAATCAGCCTTTGTTTCACATCATATTCATACCCGTTGTTTAATTATGAGTTCCTTATTCACATTTTCTTGACCAGTAATTAAGTTAAACAGCAAGGTATACATTTATAAAATGCTCCTAAATCTACATGTCATCATTTTTTTTTATTAACATTGTTGGAAATTTCCATAACTATCAGAGATTAAGTAAAAATTGTTACTTCTTAAGGTGAGTTTTTTGTTGATATCATAGTGTTAATGTCCTTATTAGTAAAAAATGAAGCATTAATGTGAGACCATGTCAGATATAAGGACTGCCCCTTTAGCAGGGAAGTTTCCCTGCTGATGGTTTGGGACTCATGTGACTAAATGTGATATCAATGCAGTGTCATCATATATGAAAAACAGGACCATTTTTGTGTGTTTTTCTTTATTAAAAAGATGTATTTGCACTTCTAAAGCTCATTATACCAATTCTGACTTTGGATGTATTTATTGTGTGGTTAAACGAGATGATGAAATAAATTAGTTTCACACATAACGTGTCTGTTTTGTGAACACATTCGTATTTCATAAAACACTGGAGACTTTGATAGTATTCAACCTTTAACCTAGAAAATTTTTTCTCACTAAAGCAGAACATTGTGAATCACTGTAAGTTTCAGTGACTAAATTGGCAGGTTTTATTAGTTTAGAGTAAAGACATATTTGTGCCTGCATGCAACTGTTCAGAAGGATCCAGGACTGTCAGGTCACTCATTAGTTCGACACATGACTAGATTATTCCCTGCATGAGGGATTAGATTTGGTCATTTGCCTCTGGCTCCAGTTGAAACTTCCCTGCCAAGACAGTGTGTGTAAAATTGGGCCTCTGGTCGCAGTAAATGTTCTGAAAAGAAGGAAAGATTGTCTACAGCAGTTATGTCGACAAGATGGTGGAGGGATGGTAAGACGAAAGGGCAAATGCATTCTAGACAGACTGAAAGAGGTTGCAGGTTCAAAATTAATATCCCTGTCGGTCCTTAATCCTAAAAGGTACACTTTTGGTTGCTGCTCAGTGTGAGCAGTGGCTACACCTAGTCCACATTTCCTCATTGTGGGACAAGTAATAATAAAATTGTGCTGAGGTGTGTTAAGTTCAGTGTTCTTAGGTCAAAATACAATAATTTTTTAGTTAGACTTAGAGAACTTATTCTCATTTTGTATACACAGAGCGGATACAAAACGAAATTTGTACATCTTTCATGACATTTCCATTCGTTAAAGTGCAGCAGTGATAAAATTTAAACATCTTTCATGACATTTCAATTCGTTAAAGTGCAGCAGTGATCAAATGTAAATAGTGTGGGGAAAAAACGTGGTGCAAAAAAAACGCATTGAAATGGAAGTTCTGAACATTAAATATATAGGGTGCAATTATGCAGGGTTTTGAATTGGCGTTATCAGTGTGAGGCAGAGTCTGCGACATGATTAAAAGTTTTTTCAACAGTAAGGCTGGCTGATGGCGGTGGGAGAAAAGCTGTTTCGGAATCTGCTGGAGCTGCATTGGATGCTTTGAAGCCTCTTCCCAAACGGCAGCAGGGAGAACAGTCCATGGTGGGGGTGTGAGGGGTCATTGATAAGCAAATTCAAATTTTAATGTAGTTCAAATTTTATTCAAAATCCTTGCTGGTTTACCAATGATTGTACTTGAAATAGGAAACGTAGATAGGTGCTTGTTGTAAGCAATGTAATAGAAAACACATATCAAACTTGCACCAAATGTAAAAAACAAATGCATATCATCTACATAGAGCTACGTGAAACTCAAGTTAATCGCTGTGGCTTATGGTCAGACAAAGAAACACCTGAAGACAATGGCAGTAAAAATAAACCCTATATATTTAGACTTTAATTTCTAGTTTAAATGAGCTCATGGAACAGTTCTGTTAATTCGACACCAGTTGGCACATATTTAGCCAGTCTTTGTTGGGATTATGCACCCAGTTTATCCTGCTATCTGTGGTTCTCACAATTTGCCAAGAACCACCTACAGCAAATGTTCAGAGGAGCAGGAAGAGAGAGTAAAATAGATGTCTTAAGGCAGAAATAAGTGAAATCAATGTATAAGCCTGTACACAAATTAGGCATATTTTATAAATTGCAGATGGGAAAAAAAAAAAAGCCCAGACTTGTTAAATAACAAGAGTCTTTTATATGTATACATTTTTTAATTATGTGTACATATGGTAACCTTAGTCCCTGTTGCCAAAATATTTTTTTACAGTAACTAAAAGTGATTCAACAAAAATAAGAGAAATTATACATGTAGCGGTTGTGTTCTCCTTCCTTAAAAGATGTAACCTTGTTTCAGCTTCCAATAATCGTTCAAGTGGAGCCATCTGTTGTCAAATTAAAGAAAAGACAGGATTTTAGTAAATTTACTAAAAAAATAAATAAAATACCATTATTATTATTATGTATGTCCTGTTTAAAACTCATATCGAGAAAGGAATTTCAAGCTAAACAAATATTTAATCCACACAAAAACAGAAGTAAATATAGTATGGCAACCAGATTTTTAACTCAATTAACTGTCGTCATGGGAAGTGTCACTCTTACTGATTTTACTTTTTAATCTTTGAATGATGGGAAGAATAACTTCACACATCATACACAGTTTATGTTGTTAGTTTGTACATTTGGGCTTTCTGATCTCACTTTCACTCAGACTGAGAAGGAAGTGTGAGATTAACCACCATTTCTGTGAACAGCACTGTTTGCTAGTAGTTTTAAGAGTATCAGTCTAATTAGAAATAAAGAAGCAAAAGAAAAAAAGGAGAAAGTAACTAAAATGCTTGCTTTGAAAGCAAATATTAGGTCCATAAACACATTTTACATGACGATAAACGGGAAACTGACAGACCTTATCAAATATTAGGTCCTGTCTTATATACCAACCATATATTTTGTTTTTATTCCAATTTTTTTGTTTTTGTGGTGCTTCTATAGTAAGATTCTAAATTGAACATTAGTAAGTTTCCTTTGCAATTAAGATTCAGTGGTTAACAGAATAAACCAGATTAGCCTCTAACTTAGATTTTCTTTAAGTACCTAATTCTCAGTTAACCCAAAACATTCTTTTATAACACATTAAAGTCATCTGGAACCTTCCTTGTGTCTTTTTATAGCTCTAAATTATAATACCAAACAGATTTGTTATGGATCCCTGCTGATTTTCACCAATGTATTTTATAATTGATTAATTCTGTTTTGCTCCTCCTAAAATTCTTTAATCCATGATAGAAAATTAATTACTGTTTAAACGCTGAAATTCAGCTTCTGTTTTTTAATTCAATTAAATAATGAGATGATTGTCTTTTATCTACGTGTGATTGTTTGCGTTTTCATTTTTCCTATATCTTCATGACTGTGTTTTCAACAGCGGAATATAAATTTGATCATTTTGAAAGAATATCATGGTTTAGAAACACCTATGTAAAAGTCTGCTTCTGAATAAATGATCAGACATGACTTCCACAGGCGAAGAAGACCCACCTCACTGACAGCCGTGAACATCCAGAGTTTTGATGATGAAATAATATAAATATATGGATGTTAGCCTTAGCAATAAATTGGACCGAAGTAATGACACAGATGCATTTTACAGGAAGGTAAGAGTAGATGCTACCTCCTAAGGAGACAGAGATTGCTTATGGAGTGCAGGTGCCCCTGAACACTTTCTTTGACTCTGTTGTGACATCAGCCATGTTTTTTGGTGTGGTATGCTGAAGTATCAGGTTATCTGCAACTAGAAAAGGATACAAATTGAACTTTATTGATCTCACAATGGAGAAATTTACTCTCTGCATTTAACCCATCCCCTGTGGGGAGCAGTGGGCTGCCACTGTGCAGCACCAGGGGAGCAGTATAGGGTTTAGGGTCTTGCTCATAGGCCTAGAGTGCCGGCTGTGGGGATCGAACTGGGTACTTGCAACCTTCTCAGAGCACACTACCCTAACTACTAGGCCAACACTCCACTTGAAAGATGATATTTTCAAGAGGAAGCAGCAGGGTAAGCTCATTAGGAAGAAAAGCTCTGTTCTAGGATGCCCACTGGATACATTGTAGGTGTTAGGAGAGTGAAGAACTTAAAGAAAAATAAAACCCCTCGTTGACATTTTCTACTACACCATGCATGTAGCTGCTACAGGGCTGGAGGGCTTCCTAATTTAGGGTAAGACCTTTGCATTCTACAAGCAGAAAAATAATAAATATCTTTCCTGTTAGGAGCTGTTATTTTTTCTAATATAGAACATATTTATAGACAAGTGCTTCTATGTTACTTTTGCATCTCTGCTCCTTTCTGTATGTCTGCTTCTGTCTCCTTGAACCCCAGTTGGCCTTGGCAGATGGCCGCTCACACTGAGCCTGGTTCTGCTGGAGGTTTCCTTCCCCTTAAAAGGGAGTTTTCCTCTCCACTGTTGCTGCATACATGCTCCGGGATTGCTGAAGATTCGATGACTTGATGCAATCAGCTTGTTTTCCTTAGACAGAAAACTTTGAACCAACATTGGCTGAATGATCCAATGTAATTGTTTCTATAGTCTAGTAGTTGACATAGGTTGCGAATTGATGCTATACAAATGACCTGAATTGAATTGAGATGAGATTTAATTTTAAAATGATTTAAAATTCAGTCCTATCCAGAAATTAAGTTTGATCAATTATTCTAATAACATATTTTACATGTAAAGTAGTGTTCCCATGGAGTTTACTGTTACACATCACCTTAATGTCTATATGTTCATCAAGGGAGGGAGGGGGAAAAAAATGTTGGGTTCTTAAAATATTATCAAAAGTATTTTTAATATATTTTTGACCTAGATATGTTAAGGAACAAAAGAAAGATCACATAAATTAAATATACAAGAGATGAAGGACCATACAATTCACATAGAGAGAGGATAACCTTCAGTGATGATGCATGGCCACTGGAGGGCAGTCAACACCACAGTGATAAGAAAGTAGTGTAAAAGTCCAGTTTATAGTTAAATTCTGCTTTGTGGTTTTCTTCATGAATATTGCAAAGAAGAGAAAATAAATGAATTAAACACATATTAAAAAATACATAAAACTGAAATCATATACAAATGCTGATGAAGGAAAACAAAGCAGATAACAGCTGGTACAAAGCATGAATCAACTAAAATATAAAAACATAGAAGACAAAAAACTTTATTGGAAAAAAAACATTGTGGTCTTAGGACACTGAGGGGAATCAGTATGTAAGATTTAAAAAATCTTATTAATCTTATTAGATTTTTTTAAGTGAAGTAAAAGGAAATGAATCCTTTAAATAGAAAAAAGTTAAATTAACTTGTTCTTTATAATCAATAGCTTAAATTTGTTAAATCAGCCTTTATCAGTAGTTTAGATAAATTTAGTTAAGATAACCTGTAACAACCAATGCTTTTAAAATGTAGGGTGAACTACAATACTTAAAGAAAACAAAGTCTTTTTCTCCAGCCTTTTCAGAGTAATAGATTGCTAAATGGAATGGCTTTTCTCCCTAAATTTGAAAAGGGCAATTTTTTTTTATTTTTTTTTTGTAAGAGTTAAATGAAGGTAGACGTGTGTAAGTAGGGTTTTTTTTTAGAGCTCTGAGAGGTCCATGATCCCAAAAAGAGCTTTGTCACTGTGGTTAGCTAAGGCAGCGAGACCACAATGACAGCCAGAAAAAAGACAGTCAAACCATCCAAAAAGTAAACATAGCACACTGTATCAAGTATTTTATGGAGAGCTGTGTGGTTTTGGTGCAAAATGCAGTGATGTGCTTGAGTCTGTGTAAGAAAGCTTAAATAATGCTGCCTGGAAGAAAGACAGTTTCCTGTCAATACCTGAGAATTGTTCTGCAGCAAAGCTTTATATATGTTGAAGTGCATTAATATAAAGGGAATAACTAAGCCATGCTGAGGTATTGAAAGAACAAATTTTAAGAAAGATGTATTGTAGCCAAAGAGTTATATTTAATCATGAATTTGACATGATAGAAATGGTAGAAATCTAATATTTTTTCTCTGCTTGTGTTAAAGTAGCCAGACTTTCTCTAAAACTTTTGGTATTTAACAATTGTGTTCTAGGCTGTATAAAGGACTTCTAAACTTTTACTTTTTTTAAGCCAGTACAACATGGTACTTAATGCATGTTTAGATTTAGCTCAGACACTGTGACTTGGTGTCACCTTGAAATTTTAGATACATTTAAGTTTGTTTTTAATACCAAGAAATAATTAAAACGGCAAGACCTATAATTTGGGACCAAATAATTGGCTTCTAATCAAGAACTAGCCTTAGCTTTATGTGCATCCAGTTGTGTGCAGGGACAATTTGTTTAAAGGTACAGTGTGTAATAATCACAGGGGTTTAGTGACATAAATGTAATAAATTATCTAAATGTATTTTTTTTATTATCACCTTGAGCTTAAAGTCTCAATCTTTGTGTTTCCCTTGTATAAGGTGCCGTTTGTAAAGTTACACAATAAAAAATTAAGAGCAATATTTTTTGGTATTTTAGCATGTAAGACAAATGGGGATTCATTTTTCCAATTCATATTTCCACAATGTCATCATACATTTATAAATATAAAAGTTTCAAAATAAATCTTTCTTCTGTCTTTGGTCCATGTTTGTTTTGATCTAAGCAGGAAGACGAATCACCTGGAGAACAGAGGTAAGGCAAGACAGTGTTCCTGAGCTCAGGCAGAAGCAACGAGGAATCATTATGACAACAGTGGCTGAGAAAGCTCTATAACCTGGACGAGCCGGTCAGCTATGCCGCTCTCTGTGGCTAAGGAACCACAGCAGCAGAGCCACAGCTAGCTCAGGAAGAGAGCTGAGGAGCACAGGGCAGCTCTGAGAGGCCTGCGGGGAAACTGTGCTGATGGCCTGAAGAGGTTATAAGTGGCCTGGGCACCACAGAGAATCAAAGCAGAACAGTGGAAGATCGTATTAGTGTGCCAGGCAGAGCGAAATCTGAAGACAGTGGAGAGCGGCTCTGGCTTACCGTGAGGAGGACAGTGTGACATTGTAGGAGCCCGCCAGGGCGACAAAGCAGGAAGAGACAATGACAGGCCAAGGCTAGAGGATCTGAGGAGCGTGCGGCCAGAGCAGGAAGAGAGAAAGCATCAGCTGGTCCGTTACTGTGCTGGAGGTAGGATATAAAACAGTCCTACCAAGGCTAAATTAAAACAGGTTTTTAAAAAGCCATTCTCAACCTATTAAGATAAAGCATTCATGTTTGATCCTTTGTCAACATTATTTTCTCTTTCCTCCTTTTTGATTTAAAAAGCTTGCCTTTGCGGCCTCATTCACTAAAACCCTGGTCAATTCATGATGCCTTCTCATCTCCTAAATTGTTTATAATTATCAAAGTACTTTAGGCAACAGTGCTGAAAAATGTATGGATTTAAAGCTGTGATCTGATGTAATCATCATCACTTCACAAAAAGGTAAGGAGGTTGTGGAAGCCATTTTGTACCATGATGGCCTCCATATTGTTGGAGGGGAGAGGTGTTCATCCCAGAGTTATTTGGTATTTGTTTCTCTCTTAAGCACACAAGGAATAGATAGAAAAGAAGAGGAACAAATGAATGTTTGATTAATTATTCATCACTTTAAAAGATTGAAATAGAGACTTGCTTTTGAGAGAAAAAGTATGAAAAAAGATGATGTAAAAACGAGCCTTTAATGCACACTGAGATGCTTTAATCTCTTTATCTATGTTATTTTGCTTTTTACAAGGCCAGTGGCTACAAATAGTACCTTGAGCAACCCCCGCCTTCCTTTCCTTTTCTGCATCAAATTGAAATTATCTGTTATAAATATAAACATCTATGTCCAATATTTAAACTATGTTTTAGTGCTTTTTTAGATCTAAGCTTCAAGTTAATGCTAATGAGGTATAAGAAATTCCCATCTTCAAATGAAAAAAGTTTTATAAATCCAAAACTGCATCTATTATGGATTTTGAATTAGAGATAGAAAATGAATCCTAGATTTCTTAAAAAGTGAATTAACCCTCATGTTCAGTGCTTAATGGGGATTTTGATATAAACATCAGCATCATAAGCTGCAGTGTAAAGTCATATTTCTACAGTTCTTGGACTATGTGTTCCAGGTGAGCACATAGTTTCTAATGTACGGACATGTAGATAAAAAGAAAAAGGCACTTTTTCTACTCCCTGACAGAATTGCATGAAAGGCAATCATTTGTATTGCTGATAGGAAAAAGCTGCTTGTGTGTAATGCTATAAAACCTAAAGTAGACTCAAAAATGTAAATATAATAACTCACAATGTATGATACAAGATAATACAAATACTGTAAAGAACCTGCAGTTCACACAATCTGATATGTCTGGTTGCCCTTGTGAAATAGAATCACCAAATGTTTTTGTACTTTGATGCATGATAAAGTCCTTGTATAAGAATGATGCCCTTAAATGGTCATCGTAATCAGTGCACTGTAAGTTGGCTTTCGCATGTTTGCAATTTCTATATAGAGTTAAAGTTGTCTTGTGTCTGTATCTATGCTGAGATGGATGTATGATCCTAAGATGCTGCATTCGGGGGATGAAGCGGAGATCCATGTTGTGACAGAAGTGCATCTATTTGAGGAAGCAAGGAGGACAGTGGGCAGTCTAAAGAGGCACAGCTGGCTAACACCTGGAGCTGCTCTGGTAGTAGGTTGGCTTCGCTGCAGACCTTCTGACACAAGGTGCTTACAGTGTGACATGTTTCCGTTTTCCTCTGGGTCAGCTGGTTCCTTTCCATGATTAATTTCTCTCTTTCTGTCTTCTGTTAAAAAAAAAAAAAGCACATGTAGTAAGCAAAGCCTGGTTTACAAACCTCTGGAAATTTTCCCTCTAAAAAAATTATCTTACCAGCTTATTTATTTCACACTGTAGATTATATATGCAGTCCAGCTTTCTTTTACGGCAACGCTGAGCTGCAAGGCGGTTTTTGCTGCGCCTTCTAACATCGTGGACAAACTCCAGTTGTTCTTGGGTAAGAGTATGTTGCTTCAGCAGATGTTGAAAGTCATTACGGTTCAGATTCACAATCCAGTCCACAGAGAATGGCAACTGCACCTGTGGAAACCACAGTTGATGTAAAGTTTATGCAATCAGATGTTGCATGGCAGATAAAAAAGCACACAGTTAAAGGAGCATCTTCAAAGACATTCATGTTTTTTAGTGCTATATTTAACATATATTCACTGGAAAGAAGAAGAAGAATGGGAAATTAAGTTTGCATAGTTATATTTTTCCCAAGCTGGTAAATATTAACCGTAATCTGCTGCTGTAAGCATGAACCCGGAAATGTGTGCACAACAGATTCATTTAGCATTATAAATCTAATGCTTTATGCTTGCAAATTTATCCTGGGTAAGGAAACTAAAAATCTTACCAATGGAAAGAACTCAGTTTTTCCTGCTGACTCCTTATTTTTACTTCTCATCCTATCTTTACAGTGACATAAGAAAGTTATATGGTATGACCTCTGGTAAATGCTAACTGAAAAGGGTGAGCTGTGAATTTTAGCCGTGTTGGACTCTGAACCAGAGCGCCTGCTCAAACACACACATACATCTCCTCTACTGGGTGAATAATTAACACTGTAGCTTATCTGCCTTACATGAATGCAGATGCGTATTTGTCACTGATAAAGCAAACCTGACCCTCTTATCTAAAAGAAACACAGTGTCAAACATACAGGAAGCAGACCCTGGTGATTCTATTTATATAAAAATCTGTGTGTGTCGAAGTTAAACTTTTTGTTTTTATATTGGCAATTTATTCTGTTTGTTAATCTGTTAATCTGTTTTAATGCACCATATGCACTTGCAATAGGCTCTGTACACACCATCCTAAAATATATTGGTGTCAACCACATGCTGAGAGAATGCCTTTTTTTACTCATTACATATCTTTTTTAGTCAAATGAATGTCGTTTCACAGGCCTTTGCCAAAGTTGAAGTGGTAATCAGTTATTTTATTAAGCTGTTGAAGCATGGATGCATCTACAATCTGAAGGACAGTAGATCTTAAGGACCAGGTTTGGAGACCCCTGGTCTATAGCATACAATAATATTAAATACATTGAAACTTGGCTGTTACCTGTAGGGCCCTCTCATTTGTGGAGAACTCGCTGTCTCCCTCTGTTTCCGCCTCTGAATCACCGTCTTCCCCTGAGTTTACCGACGACACACATGATGGAGGTGTCCCCTCATACTCAGATATTCCACAGTTCATTTGGTCATAATCCATATAAAATGGGCACCCAGTTTTGGTGGAACCAAGGTTGTTCTGAGGAGTTGACCAGTCTAAAGATGAGCTCTGCCCCCATCCACCATATGCATCGGTTGAACATCCTGCTTTACAGTCAAGGATATTTTGCTGGTAGGTGTCTTTACTTATATTTGATCGCTCACTATGGTGATTTTTACTCTCTGTCTTCAGTGTGCTTCTTTCTCTACAGTTTTCTTGAAGGATGGCAGCTCTATTTGTGTTTGCTGTTGGTAGATCTATTCTTCCTAGTTGACTAGCATCATCTGTGTTTTTTTCCTGATCTTCTAACGTTGCATTTTGGTAAGTGGAGCATGTCTTTACTGAACCATGGTCTCTTGATGTTTTACTTTCTGTAATGCTGACAACGTGCATTTTATGCCCCATTGACTGAGAGATTGTGGAGTCTACATCGAAGCACCTCAAGGGGCAAAAGGTCCCTGATAATCCCTCACAGAGGACTGTGCTTGGCTTTTGGGAGTGTGTCTTGACTGTTGGTATCACTGATGAGATAATTTCTGATGTATATTCCATCTCTTCTTCATTTGACCAAATGTTCTTCTCTCCCTTGGATCCCTGCTTCCCTTCCTGTTTAAATGTGTCTTCTTTAGAAGTATCGATTACGACTTTGCTCCCATAGTTCTCTGATTTCAAATTGTGCTTTTCAGTTTCACATAACTGCTCTGCTTCAACTTTGTTCTCTATGGCAAGGTTGGAGGTTGGATTTCCAGTGAAATTAACCACAGTTTCCCTTTTACAGTGTGTCTTGTTGGGGCACGGAAAGCAGGAGGGGACACAGTCACCCCTTATCCCTGCAGACGCAGGAGTCAAGGGACATTTTTCACTGGCAAACAATTCTTTCTCACAAGCTAACTGGAACTTGCGATACTTTGGACCTTGTATGACTGGGTCAATTAACCCTTCGGCTACAGAGCCAAAACTGTCTGTGCTAGTTTGACTTCCCGTTTTTATGCTCACTGATTTTTCACAGTCCCATGTCATGTCCTGATTGGGTGGTGAGTCAGCGACTGGTTTTACTTCTTTGTCATCCAACAGCACATCGTCAGAGTCTGTGCCACAATTTTCCTTTGATAATCGCCTCTTACATTCCTTGGAACAACAGGTCTTTTTCACAATGGGAGCAGAGCCGTTGCGTCTTGAGAAGAACTTTGGCAGGAGGAAATCAAAACATGCCTCATCCAGGTCCTTGAAGCCAAGAATCGAGGCAGAGTTTCGTATTTCTAAAACATTCTCTTTTCCAAAGTTGAGTTTGGATGTGTAGGCAAACTTCAGCAATGGTTCAAATCCATCCACTGTCACCTGTTAAAGATAATAGATAATCAAATAACAGCGTTTTTTGGGATATAGTAACAGTGAGAGATTGCAGTGTAAATAAGGGTAACATATTATTTTGTTTTTGACCCGTATTACTTTTCATTTTAGACTTTATTAGTTATTTTTGTTCAACTACATCACAAGATTTGCTATGGCTTACCTTAAACTATTTCTCAATTAAAGGAGTAAATCATTACCTATTAATATTAACTTAGGAGTTTTACTGTAAGGCTCGGTTCAAAGCACATAACAACTTAATATGTGTCGCACAGTAGTTAAATTACCTAGCCTAGTTGAATTACCATAAATAGAAGTTAAAGACTAAAAGTAAAATCCACCTCAGAAGAATGAAAAGCAGGGTCAAATTAAACAGTGTAAAATCACGTCACTCCTAAAAACTGTGATTTATGAATGATTGCTGTTTTATAAACTTGTAAACTTTCCTCACATGTGCATTGGGAATTTTATGACACAGAAGCCATTTGTCATTTAGGCTTGAATAAGAAAAAAAGGAAGCAGCTCAATAAAAATAATCAACCTGTTTTTAACACTTGATGAGAGTCATGTAAAGCATTTTCTGGCAAAGTAACTTTGTGATAAGAAACCAAAGAGGCAACTTATTATAGAGTTTTAACCTAAAGTTATGTTCATGCTGATGAAATATGATATTAGTTTTTTACTTGACTGGACACTCTTTATATTTTCCATTCTCACCTAAGTTTCTGCAGGATAATCAGTAGGAGTGCAGGTACTTATGTTTGGGTAAACTGATATTTTCAAAAGATGTTAACAATACTAGTGAAATAAATGGTGTATAAATAAACAATAAAAGCTTAAGGAATTACCTCTATAAAACATATTCAATACACCATTTCTGGTGAGGAATAACATTAATAACAATAATGTTTACTTCCACTTAAAAAAATATGCGACACATAGCTCCATGACATCTATTTCTTATGACTCTATGGTTAACAATATGATTTGATTTTGCGATATAAAGCTTTGAAACAAGCCTTATACATCACATGATATGAAACCTTTAGAAAGAGGAGTTGGTTTTATGGGTTTTGTGAGCCTGAATAGAGATTTAAAAAGGTTTCTAAGTAATTCACTATCTTGAAATATCAGGATTCAGAACAGTTTAGGTTTCACGTAAGACATATACAGCATTCCAGCTAAACAAAAGAGACAGAGCTGAAAGGGTCTCGGTTTGTAGCAGCAGGACCTGAACAGCCCATCTTTATAGACTCTATTAAGAATCCCAACTATTATCAAGGTGCTTAAGGGAAGTTTGTAATTATTTGAATTAAATAAAGCTGAAGCAGAACCACACAGTAATTCCACAAAATATTTTCAGCCAATCCAAGAAAAACAAAGTCTTTGGCGAAGAAAAATTCAAAACACAATGTTTTTTTAAATGTCCTAGCGATGACTTCTACTGGAGAATAATAATGCAAACTTTACCCAGTCTGATATTAGGGACAGGTAGATGCTTACATTGAGCTTTTCGCTGATATAATTTCAACCAAAGGGGGTAGGTGGGTTACCTAAAGTTCTTCTAAGCTAAAAAAAATAAAGTTTGTTGATATTACCTTTTACTAAGTAAAATAAACTTTCGATATATACATGACAATCAATTCTCATTTTCCACAGATGTACTTAAAAAAATATATGTTAAAGGTAAAGAATTCATTTTACAGAACAAAAATATTTCTCAGGATATCCTTGTTTTCAACATGAATGTAGCTCCATTCTATCTGAAATTAATCATTAGCAGACAGTGGTCTGTTCTGGCCTCAGCCCTTCTTGGACTAGCTGTTAGCATTAGCCTCCAGGTCCAACTAAGGGGCATAAGGGAGAGATTATCACCTGTAGGGATATTAACAGCATGTTTTCAGAAGAACCTCTTTTCAGTATTCTTCATTTACTTAGGCAGGAACAAGAAATACAAATTAAAGGAGATACAGTTTATAGACACACATTTTATCTTACATTTGAGAATAAATTATATGTCCTTGGAAACTTTTTATCCTGTCCTTTTCTGTGTAAATAACTGAGAAATTATTCTAATTTGCACATCAGATGATCATCAATACATCCATTTTCGCAATGGGTGGTGGTGCCTATCTCCAGCTGTCTTTTGTTTAATCATAGATTATAATAGTAAACTCTAATTGTTAATGTTTTCAATTTGCAAAAAAAACTATGAATTCCATGATTAAATTAAGCATATTTTTTCTATATAATCCACAAGATGAACAAAAAACACTGGCAATGTTTAAAATACACCTGAACGCAATTATTGATTGTTAACTGCAAAGTTGCTCTTCTACGTTAAGGTTGGTTTTGTTTTACAAGCTGACTGTTCATGACTCATCAGCATAAAAAAAAAGCATTGGCACTTAAGGAAATAAAGGCTTTGGCTATGTTTCTCACTTTTATTTTTAAAAGATTTGTGGTTTTGTCAGCCTACATAGTTTTAGGTACAGCCTTTTCTTTCTTTTTTTTTTTGCAATATGACATTCAGAGTTGGCTTCTCACCTCTTCTGGTAAAGTAATCACTGCTCCATGTTGGGAGAGGAAAGAGATCTTTTGCAAGAAGTACTCGCTACAGGAAGCGAGCACAGAGCGGTGGGCTCTAAAACTCTGACCCTCCACCAGCACCGTCACATCACACAACATGTCCCGGCAGCGCTGCTCATTCAGACGGTGCAGCACCTGGGAGGAATGCACTGTGGACTCAAATGTAAACACAGACGACCATGGGGTAGTCTCAGCCATCACAGACATCTGTGTGTACACAAAACACATAAAAAACACAGGTAAGCCCCTTACACATGACTAAAAAATACGCTATTAATTAACAGAAGAGTTAAATAAGAAACGTTCTTACCTTAGAAAGCTGGCTTTCTTCAACTCTCTAAGGTGTTAAAGAAAGTTCCAGCAGCCTTGCAGACATGGATTTTGGTAAATGGAATGCCGTCCAACCAGGCTGTTTCCCAGAATGCCTTATCACAGCTCAGCTACAAACTAAAAACTGAACTTGACTCAGTCATATGGCCTGTGAGTGCGTATGTAAGAGGGAGGGAGAAATACAGGGAGTGTGTGTATGTGTATCTGTGTGTGTGTGTTTGCGTGTTTGTAAGTGTGTTGCAACCACCATGGGTGTAACAAAGCAGAGCTGACTCATGCACTCCTTCTGATAAAGGATGAGCAAGCACATTTTACCTCATTGGGGCAGTCTGGTGAACTAACAGACTTTACTTAGGAAATCCACCCTGAGCACAACAAAAGAGTCTAAGGAGAAGGGAGAGAACAAACTCTGTGTTTAAAGATGATTAACTTATACCAAGCAGATAATTTTGAGGATATACTGTACATCCAAAAAAACAGAATAGACACCGATTTCCACCGGGTAACACAGCTAGATACAAAAGGCATTCCCCTCTATATAGATTTATCCTTCTTTATTTTTTGTTATTTGCCTAAACATATCTTATTATAAGATAAAGATAACCATGGGAAAACACGAAATACAGTTTTTATAGCTATTCAAATGAACCAATATGAAGAAATATTTGCCTCTTGCACCTAGTAGCTGGTTGTGGCACTCTTTACAACAAAATATGCCTTAGTTAACAATGAATCTTTCTCATTGCTGCCATGAAATTGTGGCTAACTCTTTGCAAAGTTGATGTCTACCAAAACTGGAGAATTTCCGAGCTATCTAGAATCAGATTAGTTCTCTCCAAATTGGAATTTTGTTGATGTTGGATTGGTATGTTTTTTTTAGAGGTTTAAACATTGTTTTGTGTCATCTGATCAACCTCCTGATGTCTCTTGGGAATAATTTTGGCAGCCATTTCTGGAAGTGTAAAAGTTCAGCACTCTTATGTGTTTATTGTTTTCTTGTGGATAATACCTTCAACTGTAGTTCAGTTGAGTTGAGAAACAGTTTTCCCGACTGATAGATTTAATGATCTCTAAGTGAAACTCTTAAGATAAAGCTATCCAACTGGTTTCATTTTAGTTCTTAGACATGGGTGTGGTTGTTGACATGAAATACTTCCTTGGAAAACTGTTGTTAAGAAGGTGGTTGGGGGGGGTTGCATTGCTCCGGCTTCTTCTTATATCAACTTTTTATAAGCTTGAAAAGAATTCCTTGTTCTTAATAAAGCAAAATTAGGTTAAACCTGTTAGAGCTCAAACACCTTTTCAAAGCTCTGCAATGGTTTTCCTGAACTAATAATACACGAGAAGGTCATTATTTTTGTCACTTTGTGCAACATGTGTTTTTTTTTTCTTTTGCATACAGTACATCTTTTTGTTTAAGAACTATTTATAAAATGGTGATGCACATGTCAAAAACTTTATATGTGATGTCCTCTGAACTTCTATGTTTTGAGAAAGTCGACTCCTATGGGTGCTACATAGCAAATGTTTCAATCCTTCTTACTAAATGAAGTTGGTAATGTCACATGATTTGAAAGAAGAAGGAAGCCAGCCACTGTCAAGCTAGCCAATCAGATGGGTGTTGCATAATTCCAGAATAAAGTAATTTGTCATAAGAAAAAATAAATCTTCTTCCTTTTTCTTTGTAAGGCTGAAAATGAGGAGATAACACAATGGTGCTGGCTTGGAGAAATGAAACTAAGGAAGTGATGCTTTATTACAATAAAAGGCTTTTTCGTTGTCAGAGGAGAGTATAAAGCAACAGTTCATTTTGTATATTTCTCCATCTACAGGATAACCACTGAATTAAATTCAACTCAGACAAAAGATACAACAAAATTTATCATTGTTCATTTGTACCCTTGCTTCCAAGGGTTTGTATTTATTGTAGATACCTGACAAAGTTTTAAACACTCTTTGAATCAGCATCTAGAACATATCCCACCTTTTTTTTTTAGCTCTTTCTAGTATCTATGGTTCTACAAAACCTGACAATGGTGAAAAACATCAGTTCTCCGTCACTGAAAATACTGTTCATTAAGGTACAGTATGTACTTTTTAAATGAGCAGTTAACTTTGACTTTTTTTCTTTGTCATTTTACTGAAACAAACTTCTTTTATTAGGGTTTTTTACATGGTAGATACACTAAAAGTAGCACATACTTGTATAGAGGAAGAACAATGATGTACTGCTTTAGACTATTTTGAATATTAAAACGGGAAAGTGTGACCTGTTATATTTCATTTTTACTCAGATTCCATAAAAAACCCAATTTATTTAATGACCTTCAAAGTTTCCTGATTAGTAAATATAGTTTCCATGTGTGTAACTTCATCATGAAAATAAAGGTGCAGGCCAGGCAGATCAGTAATGAAGCTAAGGAAATATTCAAAGCACAGCTGGGTTATTTCTGTTTATAGAAGATGTTTTCTTTGAAGTTTGTCTCAAGTCGCAAGGAAACAACAAACTTGCTTAAGAAGTTTCCCTTGACAGATGACATCAAAATCCAACCTCTTGGCCTACATGCAAAAAAAGATATGGCAAAAACTAAGATAGTTACCACCATCAACACACAATTTCCACAGTGAAACAAGGTGGTGGGAATATGTTTTGGTATATTATCAAAAACAGGGAGACTGGGATAGGTTGGGCAATGAATTAAGCTAAAATCTGCAGACTATTAAAAAAAAGAAGCAAAAAAAAAAAAAAAAATCAATAAAAAATCATTTAAGCAGCTCCAAATGATTGGGACAGAGTTTCACCCTTCTTCGTGGTTTTGATAAACGCATGGCATGTTTTAGTACATTATAAGCAAGTCAAAGTCCAAAACTAAATCTCACTAAAAATCTTTGGCAAGATTTTAAAACTTTTGTCCACAGATGCTCTTCATCCAATCCAGTGAATGGTTTGGAGCAAATGATTACATGTGCAAAGATGGCGGTGCACAACCCAACGACTTACAATTCAATTGCAGGGAAATATTGACGACTAGAGGCTGATAAAAATACACATTACATACATTCACATCCATTTAGTGATTAGTTGACAGCTCAAACTAGCTGGAAACTTTGCATATTATTCATGGCTATTTGAAATTTGTCGTTGTAATTTGATAAAATGAGAAAAAGATTGCATGATGTTAATACTTTTGTAATGTGCTGTTCACTTTTAGGTTTTCAATAATGACCAGCATAGTTTAGCAAACTTAGATTAAAACCCTAAAATTCTGTCATTGCCTACTAGAATCACTCTAACAACTTCTCAGTGATGACAAGCTTACATCTGCGATTCACACCAATGACTTAGATCATCCACAGAAACAGGTCCTGTCTGTGTAATCATACAATTCAAAGACTGTGCATGAAAACAGTCCGTTCGCTGGTCTAGTGTCAGCTGAAAGTCTGAAAGACTCAGGCTCTTGGAAGTTAAGGGGTCAAGAGGAGTCTTGCCTAGTTCGATTGGCAAGGCAAAGCCTCTCTAGCTGCTGTCTGCGCTCACTGTGGAGGGTCACCAAGCTGCGGTTCTCCTCTGTCAATCGCTTAAATTCCTCCTCAAGACGGGCGATCTCTTCAGCAACTTTCTCATCCTCCACTAGCTCCGCAAGCAGCTTGCGCCTGAAAAAAATTTGAAAGATAAATCTTATTTTTTTGGTTTTCCATGGTCTATCCTAAAGTATCCTTTGATATGTGGGGAAAAAAATGACAGTTATCTTATAATACATGTAGGTCAAAATACACAGAACTAATCTGTGTTGTATGGTGGCCCAGAGGTGTCAAGTTAAAAACATTAGCCACAACATAAAAAGAAAAGCCACAATAGAAACACAATAGCCATAACACACATCCAAAAAAACCTAGTAAAATAATAAAATATGCTGGATCATGTAACAAGATCTATATTTATAAGAGTTGCAGGACAAATACGTGAAATATCTGTTATTCAGTGAGTTGCAATTGATTGAATGCACTGATATTTGGCTGATCCATCAATTTATCCACTATACTGTTGGATAAGAAAATAAAATATTTTGTAGACAATATCATTTTGTGAATAAAACAAACCATGATCTTTATGGATAGATATTATTCAAACAAATAGAAAACAATTTATACTATTCCATTCCAACTTATTTGATATTGTCTCTTTTTCTATCTTAAAAAATATCAAAAATTCTTAATTTAGCATCTCTTAACTTTACTCGGGATGTTCCGGTTAGTTGTTTGTGTTTCCTATCCTATTAGCACTTCCCTAAAAATACTGCTAGTAGATTCATTAATGACAAAAATGACAGCCAATTATTTACATACACTTGCCCTTGTTAGATATTTCCATCAGTCATCTTCTCTGCTTTTAGAATCAAGGCGTCAATGTAACTCAGATAGGAAACCTACACATTCCACCACCCAGCAACACTATGTTGTATTTTGGTCATAGTCAATGAAAAAGGAAACTTCATAGACAGAAGGGTTAAGAGAGCCCCCTGATCATAAGCCTCAGCTAACTGAGCTTATATGTTTAATTTCATTATTATTTTTGTCACTTATGTCAGGGCTTTTTTGGTCATAAGTGGCAACATGTGAGAATTAGAACATGCACAGAATGGTAAATTTAGAGTTTCCCTTTTTGTCTACTGCATAGAATAATTCCAACAGTACTGCGGACAAGGTCCTTGTAAATCTAACCATTTTCAGCTAATTTTACTATCTTTATCAAACATGACACTTAAATGCTTGAACAAAAGTAGATTAGCCAACTTCTGTCCCTCTGCCCATACTTTGTCTGTCTGCTTTTTGAGGAGCCTAAAAGCACATAAATGCCTAGTTCCCTAAACGTAAAAGCTTTTATCAACACGTGTCAGCCAATAGTTTCTCGGGCTTCAGTCACACTGGATTTCGTACTGACAGTAACTCTTATAGCTTGCCTCTAAGTCCTTAAATAATCCTATTTGGATACACATCTAGGGAAAAAAGTAAGACACTATCTGCATGGAGCTCAGTCATGTTTCTGCTTGCAACTAAGTACAAACAGGTTTTTGATGATGATATTTTAATGTTTTTTTTATGTTAGTGATCAAATTGTGAATGCTAAAGTATCACATGCATAGGAAAGCAATGCTGTTGTATCATTTCCTTCCTTTATTTCTGCAGCTTCCTAAAATTGAACTATGGAGCACATTCACCATGGTGACATTTATACCAGCCTAAACACACAACGTGTCAGAAACGTGTGCCCTTTTGGTAAAAAGAAAACATAAAGATATGTGACATAAATGATAAATAAATACAGGACAATCTTCTGTAACCACTAAAATTACAGCGGATATGATAATCGCAATAACGTATCATGTCAAAAGTTGACGTAACTAGTGATATAGTCAGTGAATTGGAATACTCATTGTGATTAGACATTTTTGTCAGATTATATCTACTTCTTGAAAAGCAGATATGAAAGTAACTTTCATTAAGCCCAAATTTTCATAAACCCTCATTTCAAATTTGTTATTGGTCTCATGTATTATTATAAACTAAAATATCATATTTTTCTTAGTGGTGAGCAGAAAATTATTAAATTTAACTCACAAAGGCTTCAATACATTATTCTGTGTGTAATTAACCTATTTAATTTGTATTAACTAAAAAGTAAAAAAGTGAAATAAACACGTTTTTCAATATTATCAAAAATTTCTAAATATGTCAATCATTAATATTGTTTTCACTGGCAAATCTGCGTTTACTTATTGTTTGTACATTTGGTTTTGGTGGTGATCTAGCTTATATTGGGAAATTCCGTCTTCGCTTTCACCTGCAAATGAAATTATGTTTATTATTTTTTTTTACCTCATATGTTTTACTTCCAACAAAACATAATATTACTCAAAGACGACAACTTTCACGCGGCATTATTTGTTTTTCTGAACATGGAAGTAAGTATAACACCATGTGTGCATGCATGTGGGTGTATGTGAGTGAGTGTTTATTTTTGTCGCAGAGAGCGGCCAAAAAGAGGAAGAAGGAATTTTTCCAAAGCACATTCAGACACGGAACTTTTAAAATGATTACATTACATTTGTTTACCATCGTAACATATCCTAATGCTAAAAAATACTCCAAAGATTTTTTTTTTGCAGGAACTATTTCCCAATAGTTACTACAACTGGGGTTATCAATTTATTGTGTTTCCTTTTGTTGTACTTAATTTGGTAAAATATAAGATGAACAGTTGTAGTTACATGTGTGCTTCTTTGCTTGCATACAGACAAAGAGCAGCAAAGCCTGTAGGAAATGATCTTGTCAATGTTTTGATGTCACTCCTGTTGCCAGTCTTGCATCACTCAGTATTGCAAAATGCAATTCTTTTCACATCTTCAACTCTGAAATAAATTTTTTCCCCCCAAAGTGTTTAAAGATACATCATTTAAAAAGCACTTTTATATTGCATGGTTCTTTTATATGTTGTCTATGTTTTAGATAATCTAATTGTTTTTTTTTTTTTCCTGTGGGGATAGGTAACCATGGCAACATGAACAAATGCAAGTGTAGCAACATGACTCATCATGTCTAATCTTATCTATGGTCAGTCTTTATGGCGTTCTTTATCTAGGAATGGTGAATTGGTGTAAGGCCCAGTATTTCCCAGTCGAGAAACTATGAATCAGACAGACATCCCTCCAGTTAAGAACCCCTTAATACCCTTTAAACGCAAGGTGCTGCCTTTGGTAAAGAAGATATTAACCCTTTAAAGCCTGATCCAAGAATAAAACAAAACAGAAAATTACTTTTTTTGGGTTTGAAGTCCTTATTTGGCCTTTTAACAAAATATGTAAAAAGAAAAATCAGAAATACATTTTTTATATTAATAATTTATTGCTATGCGATAAGTCAAGATTATTTTTTGTGTAGTCTTCTACTGGCTTTTATCAGCTATATCTGATTGTGTACAATTTAACCATTAAATTATGCAAAAGGTGTCAGATGCAAAACATTTCAGAAACTGTATGTGTCAAATACGATACATTTGGCATTATAGGGTTAAGAAACTCTATCAAACCATGTTGTCCTTTTGTGCTTTCAGGAAAAATCTTTCATTCAACTTTAGGTCATTCAACTTTAATTGTCAATGCAAATGTGTATTACAATAAAATTTGAGTTCTGCCATTAAACCATCCCATAGGAAGCAGTCGGCAGCTTGGAGCTCTCATGGGAGAAATCTAGGAAAACGGGTCTTGCTCAGGGGATAAAGAGCGGTACCAAGAATATTGAACATAAATAGGAGACTGAAATAATTTGAGCATATTTTTTTATATGTTTTTTCTACAAAGCCTTACTTGCGTTCCTCAAGGACAGATATCTCATGTTTCACGTGGTGGAACTCTCTGGCCATCCTGCAGTGCTCTTTGTACACCTGAACACTCTCTCGAAGGGACATGCAAGGCGGCACAGGCTGCAACACAAAAGAAATATGAAAGCAAAAAAAAATATTTTTGCTTGGACTTCTGTTTGAGTTTTCAGTTACACTCTGATGTATGTCATTCTATGTTTTGTTGGCCATTGATTTTTTTTTTCATTTTGTGTTATGTCTAAGCAGTGTTGTATTTTTTTTAATTACTCTCTGTTGCCCCCTTGTGCCTTGTCTCCTTTCCCCTAGCCCTTCTATCCACATCTCCATATCAGCTCATTAGCCCATTCCTTGTTCTCTCACCCTATACAGTATACGACTCCTGTGCAGTTCCTCATTGCAGGTTTCTCTTCATTGCTTCGCTCTTAGTAATGCATGTTTCCCTCTGGTGTCTACTGGTTTTGGTTTCTCTTATATTGTTCCTGTATTTGTGCTTCTGTTGTCATCTGCATTTAAATTAAATCTGCAAGACCTCATCACTGCATTTGTGCCCTCAACTAACTTCCACCAAACCTGGCAGGGTCAGAGTAAATGTTGCTTTATCTAAACCCTCCCTCTCTCTTATGCTACAACCCCACTGGGTTGTGTTTTTTCCTATCTTTAATTTGTTTTATATACAAATGACTGCCAGAGCCATTACACTTGATACCACGTTATCAAATTTGTAGATAACTCTGTCATTAGCAATAGATAGCGTGGTGCTGATGAACTTTGAAGTATCACCGTGGGAAAAAATGTGCACAACTTTAGAAAAAGCATATAATCCCGATTGAAAATTTGTAATCAAACTGTTGATCTGGTCCCACGGCATGAGATTTTAGCCATAGGTGGAGACAGTGGCAAAAAAAGTCATAACAGTACTGTACACTGATTGAAAGCGTCACAGTTTAATGTCTGTTCAGTTTTTATTGGGATGTTTTATTCTTGTTTTATTGAATCTGTTGTTACATTTTTTTATTTACTATAGGTTTGCATCTCTTTCAATTTAAAGCAAGAATTACTACAGGGAACTATAAAAATATCCAGTAAAATTGCTGGTATAACAAGGAATGATCTTAGTGGCCTCTACAAGGCCAGATCTCTAAGGAGAACCTGATATTATCCTGACTGTTTTTAGAGGGGTCCTTTTCCCATCTATCTTCATTTAGGAGGATCACCAAGTTTAAAAAACTTTTTTTGCTGCTTTCAGCTTGGCAAACTTGATATTTTCCTCATCCTCGTCGTCTCCCGCTTTATCCGGAACCGGGTCGCGGGGGCAGCAGACTAAGCAGAGACTCCCAGACTTCCCTCTCCGCTGACACCTCCTCCAGCTCTGTTGGGGGAAGCCCTAGGTGCTCCCAGGCCAGTCGGGAGACATAGTCTCTCCAGCGTGTCCTGGGTCGTCCCCTGGGCCTCCTCCCGGTGGGACGTGCCTGGAACACCTCCCGAGGGAGGCGTCCAGGGGGCATCCGAAGAAGATGTCTCAGC